GGAGGAAGGGAGGAAACAAGGAAGGGAGGAAGGGAGGAAGGGAGGAAGCGAGGGAGTGAGGGAGGGAGGGAGGTAGAGGGAGAAGGAAAAATAGAAGAAAGGAAGGAAGGGGAAATTAACTAGGAAGTTTCCTCATGCCCCAAGGTTCCAGTCTGATGAGCCTGGAAATGATTTATGGGAATTGTCTAATGACTTCCTTGGGAAAGTCCACTCTAAACTGTAGGTAGGAGGTCCATCTATGCCAGGGCATATTGAATGTGAGAACGCCTTCTGTGTGTGTATTGTCAACTTTCAGTCAGAAGAATGAGCATAGGCTGAGCGAGTACTGAGGTCCCGTGCTACTGGCCTGTTGGGAAGGGGAGGAGAGAAACATGTCCTCCTTCTTTCAATAGCTTGCTGGTAGTATACGTGATGCAGAAGGCCCTAGGTCCAGTTTCCAGAAACACACACACACCAAAAAAAAAAAAAAGAACTAAACAAATATTAAAGCCACTATCTTGGACCATGGAAATGTTTCATTAGGTAAAGGTGTGTGCTGCCACACCTACCACCCCAAGCTCAACCCTCAGACCTCACATAAAAGAAGGAGAGAACCAACCCTTATAAGTTGTCATCTGTCCTCCACATGCACACACAAGGAAATAGATAAAAATAAAAATTTAAAAATAAAAAATAGCCAGGCAGTGGTGATGCACGCCTTTAATCCCAGCACTTGGGAGACAGAAGCAGGCAGATTTCTGAATTCGAGGCCATCCTGGTCTACAGAGTGAGTTCCAGGACAGCCAGGGCTACACAGAGAAACCCTGTCTCGAAAAACAAAACAACAACAAAAAAAAAATTCGTTAATATGACTGGAGGTGCAGTTCTTTGGTAGAGTGCTGACCTGCCATGCACAAGGGCCCAGGTTTCATCTGAAGCACCGGGTGTGGTAGCACATCTTGTAATCCCAGTACTTGGGAGGTGGAGGCAGAGGGGTGACCCTGGTGTCATGAATGGTGTTTAAGACCAACTTTAGATGCAAGAGATCCAGTCTCAAAAGCAACACAAATGGAACAGTAACGAAAGGAAATAAACGGCAAAGTTGGTACCTTCCCCACGCAGTCCACACAGCTCAGGTCCCGTCTGTTCCTCCCGCAGGAAGCAGTGGAAAGACCCCTTTGTGTTCCGCCCAGAGCGGTTTCTTACCAATAACAACTCAGCCATCGACAAGACACAGAGTGAAAAGGTGATGCTGTTCGGCTTGGGAAAGCGCCGGTGCATCGGGGAGATCCCGGCCAAGTGGGAAGTCTTCCTCTTCTTAGCCATCCTCCTGCAGCAGCTGGAGTTCAGTGTGCCACCGGGCGTGAAGGTGGACCTGACACCCAACTATGGGTTGACCATGAAGCCCAGGACCTGTGAACACATCCAGGCATGGCCACGCTTTTCCAAGTGAAGATGGCCGAGGCATGAGTGGGGCCGTCACCCTTGTTTCTTTTCCTTTCTTTAGATAACAGCTTTTCTGAGGAACAATTCTTTCCCCCATTTAATTCATCTCCAGTCAATTTTACAATATTGTCTTTCATGTTCACCCTAAACCCATACCCATTAAGATTTATGATTTAAAATTCCTCCTATCCAGCCGGGCGGTGGTGGCGCATGCCTTTAATCCCAGCACTTGGGAGGCAGAGGCAGGTGGATTTCTGAGTTCGAGGCCAGCCTGGTCTACAGAGTGAGTTCCAGGACAGCCAGGGCTACACAAAGAAACCCTGTCTCAAAAAAACAAACAAAAAAAAATATTCCTCCTATCCTGTCTTGCTTGCTGCACCACATGCTAATCTAGTTTTTGACTCAATAGATTTTCCTACTCTGGCTGTTTCATATAAATCCAGTGAGTTATGGTCTGTGACTAGCTGGCTCTCTTCACTCAACACAGTTCTTTCCAGGTTCATTTATGTTGTCATGTAGGGTCATAGGCCTTGCTTTCTTGAATCCTGGGACTCAAAAACAAGCCTCAGTCTGTTTCCTCATAGTCACGGTGGGTGCTTAGTTTACTGCTTTCTCCTTATGCTGTTCTTCTAGGAGTTAAATGTTTGGACACTTGAAAGGGACAGAGAGGAAGGAATCAAGCCTGTGGTGGATTGGTCGCTCCTATGTCCTATCCTGAAGTAGAAGGTGCGACTTCTCATAGTCAGGGAAGAATAGCATCTTCAGATGTATTTGAGTTCACTAGAGAGTGAAAACAGAGACCTGAGGGGATGACTCTGTGGGTAAAAGCAATTGCTGTGCAAGCATGATGACCGAAGTTCAAATCCCAAGCACCCATGTAAAACAGGGACACGGCTATACCTGCCTGTAAACCCAAAGCTATGGGACAGAGACAAGTAGATCCTGGGAAGCTTACTGGCTAGTCTAGCCAAACTGCCAGCTCCAGGTTCAGTGAGAAACCCTGTCTTAGAGTAACAAGGCAGAGTGATAGAGGAAGAAACCTCACACACTCTCCTGAGCTCTGAACACATGTGCATGATTTGGGCACGCACACCTCCGAATACATGTACACATATACATAACACACCAAACACACACACAACACACACACACACACACGGGGAGAAGGTGGAAATACATTTTATCGAATGGAAGATAATTGCAAACCATATGTCTAATGAGAAGTTAATGTCGCCGGGCAGTGGTGGCGCAAGCCTTTAATCCCAGCGCTTGGGAGGCAGAGGCAGGCAGATTTCTGAGTTCGAAGCCAGTCTGGTCTACAGAGTGAGTTCCAGGACAGCCAGAGCTACACAGAGAAACCCTGTCTTGAAAAACCAAAAAAAAAAAGAGAGAGAGAGAGAGAGAGAGAGATTAATGTCAAGGATGTGTAAAGACTTTCAATAATTCAAAGTTGCATAGTAGACAAGGAACTAGAGTCAACAGTTCTCTTTAAAAAGACATACAGTTGGGGCTAGAGAGATGACTCGGTGGTTAAGAGCACTGACTGCTCTTCCACGGGCCCCAGGTTCAATTCCCAGCAACCACATGGTGACTCACAACTGTCTATAACTCTGGTTCCAAGGGATGTGATATCCTCTTCTGACCTCCAGAGGTACCGGGCAGGTATATGATACACAGATATACATGACATGCTGGCTAAACAGCCATACACATAAAAGTAAACAAATCTTTAAAATTTATATAACTAGCCAGTAACCATAGGAAAAGACATTCAATATTACAAATCACCAGGGAAATGCAAATGAAAGTCACAATGGGGGAGTGTGGTGGCACACATCTGTGAGCTCAGTCACTCGGGAGACTGACAGAAGGATCACTTGAGCCCAGGAAGGAGTTCAACAGAAGCTTGGGCAACATAGCAAAACCCTCTTCCCACACAATCAATTTTAGCTAGATGTGGTGACATATGCCTTTAATCCCAGCACTTGGAAAACTGAGGCGGAAGGATTTCTATGAGTTCTAGGCCAGCTACAGCTACATAGTAAGACTCTGCCTAATAAGTAAATAATTTAAAAGATCACGACGAGATACCATGGCACACTCTGCAATGTACAGTTGTAGTCGTGAAGGTAAGCCAAAACAGGAACTCAAGGAACCTGGAGGCAGGAACAGAAGCAGAGGCCATGGAAGAACACTGCTTCCTGGCTTGCTCCCCATGGCTTGCTTTCTTATACAACCCAGAACCACTTGGCTGGGAGTGGCACCGCCCACAGTGGGCCCTCCGACATCAATCGTTAATCAAGAAAATGTCCCATTGACACGCCCATCGGCTAATCTAATGGAGGCAATTCTTCAGTTGAGATTCCTTACTTCCAAGTGACTCTAGTTTGTGTTAAGTTGAAAAAAAAACAACCATTATAAATAGGATGTCAACAGTTTTTAAAGTGGAACATAGCAAGTATTGGAGGAATATGTGGAAAAAAATATAACCTTCATACATTGCTGGTAGAAATACAAAGTGGTTCAGCAACTGTGTAACTAGAAATCTAAAATAATAAATACTAATGAAATAAAAGATAACAAGATGTAAAGATGTTTGTGGTATTTCCTCTGCGGGAGCAAAGCCGGTTTCCTGTGGAAATCAGAGACAGGACTGTGAAGTGTGCAGAGGTTCGGGATCAGACACTTCTAGCTCTGATCCAACACAGCTAAACTAACCTGAGACCACTCTAGACTCTTTCATCGCTGTTGTAATTCTAAGGATATGGCTTCATGCATAGAGGAGCCAGATGGCTATCATGGGGTTAAGGGTTCTCTGGGCTCCAGATGTTGGAGAACAAGGAGGGCGAATGTTGGTGGAGTGATCAGGATGAGGCTGGAAGAAGGAAAGGATGCTCAGTGCAGCATGCACAAAGCCCTAGGATGTTTGCACTCGGTCTTTGAGTTTTGGTTTGAGACAGGGTCTCACTATGTAGCGCTTTACTGGCCTGGAACTCACTATGTAGACCAGGTTGGCACCAAACTCACAGAGTTTGACCTGCCTCTGCCTCCTGAGACCTGGGACTCAAAGTGTGCACCACCACGTCTGGCTCCCGCCGGGATCCACTTGCGCTCTTGCTCCCTAGGTGAGTTTTTGCTTTCTCTATGACTCATAAAGTTCAAAACAAATATGTCCAACAAGTTATGACTCTCTAAGCTGAAATAAGGAGCCAAACTTATTTCCAAGGAGGATATTCCAATGGTATCACCCAACAGTCTAGACAGCCATAATCATGGTAGTCTGTGGCTTTGAAAAATACTTTAAAATAATATTGGAGTTCCTAATAACTGGTCAAAGTGCCCAGAACAAGCGGCTGTTGAGTGCTCAGCCCTAAGTGGAACATGTGTCTCAACCCTTTGAAGGCTTAGGAAGAGGAGGTAGGACGCCTGTGAAAGCTTAGGAAGGGGTGGGTGCTGTGACCCACAACCACCCCTCTCCAAGTAGTATGCTGCTTAGCTTCTGGTCAACTTCATCCTGAGCTCCAGAGAGATGGCTCAGTGGTTAGAGCAGATATTGCTCCCCTGGAGTTTCATTTCCCATCATCTACTTCAGGAGGCTCACAACAGCTTGTAACTCTGTCTCCAGGGGGCCAGACACTTTTGACCTCTGTGAGCGCACCCCCCTCCACACACACACACAAATGCAGATACACACACACACAACTACACACAGTTTTAAAATAAGGTAAATCCTTTTGAAAAGAAAGCAGTAATGATAATGTTTAGGAAGTGAAAGCAGGTCTAACCTATGATAAACTCCATACAGGAAGGGAGCCTTTTTCTGGAGTTCTACTAGTCTATGGCATGCCTGTCTTCAAGCCCAAGGCAAACGCCTCAAGTAACTCTGACTAGAATAAGACTTAGCTCATCTCTTAGAGCACACCTTGGCCCCAGGCAACCTCAGAACGAGACTGTGATGCCCCAGGATTTCACAACTGATCAGGCCATAAACCAGTCATGAATATCTCAAACAGGGAGGGGGAATCAGAGTAGGGAATCCCCGTGCTCAGAAACAGCCCATGTAAGGGGGACGACAGAGATCAGTCATGGAGTGGGCAGGACCCTTGCTCTAGGATTCCTTGTAGAGAGACATGGCTCCAGTCTGAGGGGGCACGGACCTCCCTCCAGAGCCTCTAGACTGGTGGAAGGCTTCCTGGGCATGATAGATAACCTTGTTGTAATATGTAGTACCTATACATGATAACAGGTTTTAGTTATGACCTTGTCAGAGGTGTTTTTCTGTATTTGAGTATGTGCGCATCACCACTGCTCTCTCTTGTCAGACTTCACTTCCCCTCACACCCTTCCTATTCCTGCCCGTCTTCCTTCTGAGTCCATGGATGTGAATGGGGAATCCACACCCCAACAAGTTTAACTAGGGTTTCTTACTTGAGCACAGGTGTGGGATTATTTACAGGAGAAAGGGAAACTTACAATGGTTACACCACTGAAGAAAATGTGCCTCCCCCTTCCAGGAACCATTAGCTGTCAATATTGGAAAAGAGTACCCCCGCCCCCCCAACCCCACCCCGTGATCGCCCCTCCTACTTATGACTGAGCATTGCCTGGTCCCCTCTTATCAGTGAATCACAACTGATGTGAGTTCATGGCGACAACAGCCATGTCGTGCCTGGAAAACAGCATTTTACAGCACCCACCCCTTCCACAGCTCCCACAGGAGTCCCACCTCCTCCTCACTAAGCCTTCAAAGGGTCGAGACAGATGTTCCACTTAGGGCTGAGCATTCAACAGCGGCTTGTTCTCGGCACTCCATTGACTGTTACCGCTGGAAAAGAGCCTTCCCTCATCAAAGCTGAGAGGCGCACTCACGGTGGTCATAAACAAAACCAAATTTAGAAGGCAGTTTAACAACACCCCTTTCAGCAAAACTACTGTGGTAGCTATCCCATTAGGGCCTACGAGCTCCCCAGCCGTGAGCTATTGACAACAGACCTCTAATTCAATCAGAAAGCGGTTGGACCGTAACAGTCATGCCAATATTACGCAAGTGGACACATATTGATAGTTAATTTTGATTATTAACAAGAT